TATCCGCCTTTCATGGGCTGTCTGTTCCTCTTCTTTTAAAACTTTGGATGTTCCAAAAGTCTTAGTGCAGTTTTAATCTGTAATAACCTTTAAAGCATAAAGGTAGAGCAGTTATTCTGGTCTTCTGGTAACTGGTCTTCTGTAGACCAGTTATTAAATGTTTCATATATTTTTTAAATTAAAATTCAATATATCCACTATTTTTGTGCTATACATCACTCTAGCTATTTTTCAAACCTGATGAGCATCTCCTGGATCTAGGCCTGTCGTGAATTGAAACAGCTGCCTTGAATTTTTTATCCAGTTGTTAATTAGACGTCCATGGAAGCCTTCTTAAAACGGGAAACACTTTCTTCCTCCCACAGTTGTGGACCTGAGTGCAGCTATCCAGAGAACAGGTGACATTTTTTTCAACATTTGCCATCTTCACTCAGGTGGATTGATTTCTTTATTTTTTAGAGATAGGGTCTTGTTCTGTTGCCTGACTGGGGCGCAGTGGCTCACTGCACCCTCCACTCCTGGGCTCAAGTGACTGTCCCCAGCACACATCCTGTCTCTGCCTCCCAGAGTGCTGGGATTACAGGTGTGTGCCACAGTGCCCAGCCAAAACAAAATTTTAAATCATTATTCAAAATTCACAAAACTAAGTATAAAAGAAATTTAAATGCACTAAGACTTCTGAGACATCCTATATGTCTTAAACTTCAATAAGAAAGACAAAAACCCACTGTGTTTTATTTTTGCCCTTATGTCCCAAACTTTGTGCCTTTCAAATTCTCCTTGATGTGACGAGTGCCTTCCCTCATCTACTTTTCAGCGCCAGCTGGTCCCTGACCCAGTCTGCCTCCGCCCTCTGCTGGCGCCAGCGTTGCCTGGGAGAGAGATGTTGCCGGCCCCAGTTGCCTGGCAACAGATGCTCCGCGCAACTCTGTTCCTGTGTTACCCAGCTCCATTTCCGCTGCTCCAGGTGAGCCAGCTGGTACACTGGATTATGATCCAATGGTTCAAAACACGAATGATGATCTGTTCCCCAGACCAGACTAGAAGAAGGCGAGATGATTGGTTGGGTTAAAAAAATTTTTTTAAGTTGACTTGAGCTCCTACTAGAGTTTTCAGAAGTGTCTGGCACACACTGTAGGTAATGTCACGCAGACGCCGCAGCCAGGCTACAAGGGCTTGTGAGCTAGATACCCCTCTTGCTCCCACCTCGCAGCCTCTGTGAATGATGACAGTAGTTCCTGCCTTACAGAGGTGTTGCAGATACCAAATGACTTATTCCATGGAGAGGATTCACCCCAGTGCCAGCAATCAATCAATAACTAGGAGCTATTTTATTTGTCTAAACTAGGAGCTATTTTGTAGTGCACATGTTATCATTATATTATTGATATATTAACTTACTGGGAATATTGTGGTATGTTTTCATCATGTTTATCTAATCCTCCTTAAATTTCAAATATACAAGTTATCTTTAACCCTAATTTCTAAATCTGAGCAAAACTTTTGTTATATTTCAGGGTAACTGGATATCAGGCTGCCTTAAAAGTGTGGCTCGTGAGTTCTAACTTAGCCCTCCCTTTATACACTTTCGTGGAATTTGTCTTGTCCCCTTCTCACCAATAATTTATTGGAACCTTGGCATTAATAACATTGACAAATCCTTATAAACATCTCGCTACACTAAGCTTTCTAAAAACACCTGTTCTCACCTTCTGACTGCCCCGTTAGCCACAGTACATTCGAGGTTCGTGTTGCCACCGTGGATGTGTGTCTTAGCACACTCACAGGTGCGCAGCGATGCTAAGTGATCTTCTCCCACAAGACTAGAACTTTTAACCTAGCTCAGAATAGAGTATGACACTGTATTTTTGCCTTTGTCAAGAAGAGTAATTTGTTGCTTTTGTTTCTTAAAAAGTACTTTTCTTTTCAATATAGTACTAAATTGGACAAATATTTTGAAGTTTGATCATGAAATTCCTTTCATGAGAATTCATATCTTGACTTAGACTTGTCTTTGACTTGCATGCATCCACTCATCCCTTTCAATAAGCGTTCACGGCGCAACTCTCTCTCCGGGCCAGGCACTGAACAAGGCACAGTGCGGCAGGCACAAAGCTAGATCCAGCCCTAGCCCTCCAGAGGTCCGGAGTTTGATGGGGCAGTAAAGAAACCATTGCAATGCAAGGTGATGGGTGAGACCAGGGGGGACTTGGGGCTCTGTGGGAGTATGAGGAAGGCACCTAGCCCCAACCGTGAGGGAAGCAGTGAGGCCCAGCTTGCGGCTGCAAGGGTAAATAGGAGTTGGCCCAGAGAAGAAGCAGCCCCAGGTATTCCTGAAAGAAGAATGGGTCATGCACCTGAACCAGCCTTTTCAGGAACTGCAAGTGTTACGAGAAGGGATGGGGGAGAGTGCTGAGAAGGGGAGAGTTTATACCACGCCTGTCAGAAGGACCATGTGTGATTTGTAGAGGATAGGGACAGTGACATGGTCAGATCATACTGTTCAGTGACATGGTCAGATTCACATTACCCAGGGTGCACTGGAAGGAGTGACAGGAGGCAGTGGAAACAGTCAGGAGCCCACTGCTGGAACCCAGCCTAGAATTAGTGATCTAAGACCTTGGCCTTGGAAGACCTAACAGAAAGGACAGGACAGATATTTAGGGAAAAGGCCCAACAGGACACAGTAACTGTGTGGGTTTGCAAGAAGAAAAAGGAGCCTGGGGTGACTCCTGTGGTCCTGACCAGGAAAATCAAGGGCCCTCACTGCAGAGAGAGGAGCAGGTAGAAACTGTGGGGGTGGCACGAGGATGAACCAGTCTTTGGCAAACTGAGTCTGAGATACTGGAGGTGCCATGGAGGAGGTGGGGACGGTGGCAGGAGGTTGAACTGGGCTGGAGATCCAAGGACATGAGTGGAGCCTGTGTGCACAGTACGGAGGATGCGGCCGGCCTGCCAGGAACATGTGCAAGGGGAGGACAGTGGCGCTGCGTGGAAGGCTGCCCCCAGGAGGAACCCGAGGACCAAATGGCCCACAGGGCCCTGTGGGGCAAGCCAAGGGTCAACAGGGTCTCCCCCCACCGCCAGGAGTCAGCGCAGCCTCCACAGAGAGATCAAAGAAAGACCAAAATTCTTTGATGGAGTTTAGCCCTCGGGAGGACCTTGGTGAGAATATTTTCCGTGTAGGGTGTGGGCCAAAGCCAGGCTGCAGGGGCAGAGGAGTGAACAGGAGGCAGGAAACAAAGGCACACTCGGATTCCCTTTGTAATTCCTGGCTGCAGTGGGCAGGAGGAACACCGTGGGACTAACAAGGGGCATGAGATTGCAGGTGGCGTGGGTTTAAAGGGGCCAGAGCTGAACGTGCGTGCACGCCTGAGTGAACAAGCCGGTAGGAAGTTGCACGGGAGTGCAGAGCTGGTGGCCGGGGAGGCAGCGGGCGGAGGGCAGCAGGGTGCGGAGGGCTCTGGCGGGCTGGGCGTGCGCTCCTGTGAGCTAGAAAGCCAGGAGTGCCGACGTGAGGGCAGACCGCGTGGAAGAAAGTGGAGGGACCTGACAGCGCTGAGCAAAGCATGTAAAAGGAGGGATCTCGGTAGAGAACAGGAGCCCGTCTCCGCCTGCGTTCGTCCCTCTGCCACGATGCCAAGGTGGAGGCCGCCGTGTCTTCTAGAAAAGTGGTAGCGCTGCCTGGGAGAACGGCGCAGGAGAAGCGGGGGCTGGAGGTAAAGACAGGAGGCTGGGGAGGCAGCAGCGTGGGTGAGCTGGAATCGTCTAGAAACTGAGCAGAACAAAGGCGGTGTGACTGGTGCGCTCTCGGAGATCCTCCTCCCTGACAGAAATGCAGGATCGTGCGCGAGTCCTCGCCCGCCTGGAGCGGGGAGGCGTCAGCGGACGCGGGGCGCGCGCCCAGACGCACTCTCCGGGCTCGGGTGCGAGGGAGCCAGGCGGCGGCGGCCCGGACCCCAGGCGGGCCAGCGTGCAGGCGCCCCGGCCGGGCTCCGTGACGGCTCAGCTCCCCGAACCCTCCAGTCTGTAGCGCCTCCCTGGTGCCCCGGGGCCAGCCCCTCCCCCTCCGCCTCCCCCTCGCGGAGCCCGGGCGGGAGGGGGCGCGCGTCCTACGGCGGAGGCAGCGGGTGCGAGCCGGCCCGGCAGGCGCCGCAGTCGCCCTGTGGGACCCGGTGGCGCGCTCCGTCCCTCCGCTCCAGCGGTCCCACGCGGGCTCCAGGCCGAACGCGCCGCCCCCTCGGGTCCCTGCTGGGCGGGGCCCAGCGAGGCTTGGAGTGCGGGCGCGGGGACGCGGGCGAGCGAGGGCGCAGCGCCACCGCGGCTGTCTCCAGCGGAGCTCGGCGCCCTCGGCCCCCGTGTCCGTTCTTTGTACAGTATTTACCCAGCAGATCTTTAAAATAATTATATTTTTAAAGGCACTGTGCTCCGCGCGTCTTCCTCACAGCCGTTTGGTTGGGAGCTTGCGGGGGGCAGCGGCAGGGAGAAGCTGCGGTCGCGGTGGGACGGCGCGGAGCCAGACCGCCTCCCTCAGCGGCGGGGAGGGAGCCGCAGCCGCAGGCCCGCACACCTGCGCGTCTCCGTTGCGTTGTGCGCACGTCCCTGACTGTGCCCGGCGTCCATCGAGCGGGCAGGCATGGGGTGTTTGGGCAACAGCAAGACGGCGGAAGACCAGGGCGTCGATGAGAAAGAACGACGCGAGGCCAACAAAAAGATCGAGAAGCAGTTGCAGAAAGAGCGCCTGGCTTACAAAGCGACTCACCGCCTGCTGCTGCTGGGTAAGGCGCGGCCCGCTCGGCTGCCGGGGCGAGAACCCGGCCGGGCCCGACGGCTGCCGGGGCGAGAACCCGGCCGGGCCCGACGGCTGCCGGGGCGAGAACCCGGCCGGGCCCGACGGCTGCCGGGGCGAGCTCCCCGGCCGGGCTCTCGCGCAGGGTCGGCAGGGACCGGTGGCGGCGGTTCGGGACACTGATCACAGCGTTCTTCTTGTTTGCTTGTAGGGGCTGGCGAGTCTGGGAAAAGCACCATCGTCAAGCAGATGAGGATCCTGCACGTCAATGGGTTTAACCCCGAGTAAGAATGATCAATTTGGGTGCTGCTTCCAAACCGCATGCAAACTGTTACTTCTTTCCCCGCCTTCCCCATAAGTGCTTTCTCTAAACATTTCACTTGATAATTGAGTAGACCTTCAAAGGGGAAAGAATAGATATTCTTTCAATGCTGTTCAATTTGGTATATTTAGGCAAATCCTTCTTCTGGTACTGACCAGTTTAAAAAATAACTTGCTTAACTGAATATGATTTACTAGATATTCTTGAAGTATTGGTATGTATTATTGGTATTGCTCTGAGCACACATAATATGTTAATATATACTTTTAATATCTTTGTTGTACATGTTTCAATTTCTAATAGCAACATTTAGACCTCAGTAAAACATATTTACAAGTATAACTATAGTTGAACTTACATGCAATATCCATAACGATTTTGCCATTTTTTTCTAACAAAACGTGGTTGTTTAAAGCTATGGATTGTAAAATGTGTGCACTCAAGTTTGTTTAGAGTACAGATTAGAAAAGGGGGATATTTTCCTTTCCCAGATAAAACCTGTACAGGTGTTGTCTTGGAGGTTGATATTACCCTCTTGTGAAACCAGTCTCGTGCAGTGCTGCAGGGGAAAGGTGAAACCCACCCAGTTAACGGGAGTCGGAGCTAGGGTAAATCAAGCTAATGACAATTCTCTTTCCATATAGGGAAAAGAAACAGAAAATTTTAGACATTCGGAAAAATGTTAAAGATGCCATTGTGGTAAGGACCTTTTTTCCTGTTTGTTTACTAGAAAGTTTACTTAAACTGTGTAGACAGAAATTACATATTTTAGATTATCACACATGGAGCCTAAATCCATGTTTTTTTCTTCATCCCATTAAGACGATTGTTTCGGCCATGAGCACTATCATCCCTCCAGTTCCTCTGGCTAACCCTGAAAACCAGTTCAGATCAGACTACATCAAGAGCATAGCCCCCATCACTGACTTTGAATATTCCCAGGTGAGTAAATCCTTGCTGAAATATTTTAAATTGTGAAAGATGGAACCAATTTTTATGAGGCTGCATATTGAGAATCAATGTTAATAGTAATTCATTATTAACTTTATTCGAGATATAGCTCTTTAAATGCTGAAGAGAAATGCTTTATCTGTACCAAAATGTTTGTGTTTGTTAAAAATATTAAAGACAATAAGAATATAAGAAATGCTTTTTTGAATGTATGGGATAGGGTTGATAATCAGGAATACTGCATACCTTTAAGAAATGTTGTTAGTGCCTTTGTCCTGTATGTATTCTTAAATTAACAATTAAGCTGTTTCCCAGATAACAGCTGTAAAAATTACATGAGTAGAGAAAAATACTTAGGGTAGGTCATCTCCACAGGAGTAACAGAAAGAACAGAATTCAGTTTGCTCTTAAGATGTGCATCCTTTGAAACATGAGAAAAGAATACATTCTATAAAAACAACAGCATGGATCACTTCTGAATGTTTATTGTATAATGTTAAGATGCAGTTTGGTTCACATCTGCATTGTTTAGGGCTGCTTTCCTAATCACTTGGGTGGCAGTATGGCTTATGCAAAAGTGCGACATCAATATTAGTTTTCTCTTATTTGAAGAACATGCATATCTTAAAAGTATTGTTATTTGGTAATTTGATTAAAGCATGTTTCAAAGGAAAATTATTTGTTAGATTTCTCAGAAAGTCATTTTTGTTACAGTACACCAAAAGAGCATGTCTCTGCGTGCATATGTATACACATCAGTAACAGCATTTCAAAGTTGTATTGCCTGGCATGGTGGTTTGGAGATACTTTGCATTCTCAGAATCCTCTCTGGGTGGTTAAGGCTGCACAGAAGGCAGTGTGTGAAGCAGAGGCCCTGTCCTGCGCGCCTGCGAGGCTGGGGTGCACCTGCTTGCCCACCCTTTCTCTTCCGAAGAGCACCTTTGTCCCATGGGCTCTGTGTTGGGACAGCTGATAAGAATGACTTTTTAAGAAAGCCTTCATTTGCATCATTTAATGTGATTTTTTGCTTCTGATAAGCATTCCAGGGTAGCTAGTGATATCTCTAGAATTTCTAAAAAGGATTGTGGGTGGCACACCGGCTGGAACAAGGACATCTAGCCTGGTGGGCACACTGGTTTTACTAAATGGTGTCTTTAACTGGATATCTTGGAGAGGGACAAGGAGACGATGTGGCAGGTGGAGGGGTGGCCAGGAACGAGCTCTGGCCACACCGGAAGCCCCTGCTGACTGCAGCTATAGGATGTGCTCCTGTCCCCACTGAGATTGTGTATACTAAGAAATCACCCAGTACCACACAGGCCTGGTTGAAATCAGGAGTGGTATTCCCTTCCAACCTCAGAGCAGACATTTACACACAAGTATTGGAGTTCTCAAATTTGTCCTGTTGTGTGTGTCTAAAAGTAATTATAAAATATCTCATATATTTTATATGTCACTTCTAGTGAGAAATTTAAATTAACATTTATTAATCAGTCCAATGTCTTTTTTCTCCTGTTCATGACAAACTCACAGATGATAAGGGATTCCATATTCAAATCAAAATTCAGAAAAAATTGCTAACTCGCACATGTATTATCTAAGGAATCCAAAGCTCCTACTTTGTAAAAGTGTTTCTTGAGCTAAATCATGAATATTTTTAATTTAAAAAAAACTTGAGAAACCATTTTCTTTGAATGCATGTATTTTTATAGAAGTAATTTAAGGTTACTTAAAAATGATTATCAGAAACCATTATTAATTATCAGTAAAATAAAAGAATTCCACACCAGCAAAGATAACAATGCTCTTTCAGAGGTTGTAGTCTTTTGGGGGTAGTTTTATTGGTGTTTTTCACTCCTAACATGCTGTTGTCTTGTATGTCCATGCTCATGTCACAGGAGAATATGTTTTATTTATTATGTAGCCCAGACTTATGTATGGAAATTAATATTAAATATACAGTGTTCCTTCTGAAATGCTATTTCTTATTTTAATATACATACAATTTTAGTGAAATTTATTCCCTAGGGCTTAGAAATATTTATTATTTCATAAGATTGTATAGTTCTTAGATTCACATTTTGATGATCCTCACTAAAAATGATAATAAGATAACTCTCTGACTTACATACTAATAATACTTGGTATGTTGAAGAAAACTAATTCTAATTTAAAGTATTTCATTTTTATTTTATTTCCTTTACCTAAAGGAATGTGTATTTTTGTAAACATTATAAAAGTAGAGCTAACTTGAGTATTTTAATGGGAAATATAGCAGGATTTTACTAAATCGAGTGTTTTTTTGAGGTTGAATCCTTGAGAAATTCTGTCAATGTCACAGTCTAATTATTTGAGAGTCTTAAGTTTATTTTCTTCTAGGCACAAAATAACTTCTGAACCGAATATATTCTATCATTGAAAACTAATTTCAGGCTTCTTTAATTTAAGAAGAATTAGGAGAGCGACTTGTCTTAGAAACGTCTTAAGAATTTCCTCTGAGCGTGCGCGTGTGGCAGGCACGGAGGGAGCCCTTTGGTCTCCTGCTTTTCCTGTCGCCCTTCAAGCCAGTTCAGGCCGAATTCTGTGTGCCTGGAGCTGTGGCGGAGAGAAGGCCCACGTGGCCAGTGCCTGTCAGCTGAGGGCGCGGGAGGCCAGAGAGGGGCTGCTGGCCCGTGCGCGGCGCCCACCGCCCCAGGACGTGGCGGGCGGTGGGTGGGAGCGGACGGGCAGGTGCCGCGGGCGTGGGCCAAGTGTCTGGGAGGCTGTTGTGATCCAGATGAAAACAGCGGCAGCTTGGTGCGGGGTGGAGTGGGGTGACGTGCAGTAGCTGGAGTCAGAATTTGTGTTGGAAATAGAACCATTCAGACTTGCTGGCATTTGGATGTGGGTGTGAGGGGAAATAGAGAAATCAAGAATGACTCTTGAGTGTTTTGGCCTGAATTTCTGCATCTATGGTGGGAACGGGTTGAGAGGAGGAAAGAGTGAGTTTTTGTTTTCCTGGTCAGAGACAGCTGTTGAGCCAAGGTCCCGGGGCCAGACTGCCCCCGTGGGTCTCAGCTCCACACTCTCTGAAGACGTCACCTTGAGCAAGTGGCCCACCCCCCATGGCCAGGGCAGCTTTGGGGAGCAGGGGTGTCCGCATAAGGAGCTGAGCGTGGAGCCGCCCAGGGAGCGCCACGCACAGTCCCAGCGCGCCTGCCCGCGTGCTTGGCCTGTCTCCTCTGGGAGAGGTTTGCAGGGTTTCTAGCACGAATGTCATCCAGGTTAGTGGTTCTCCTTGTGTGTGTTTTTTAACCACCAAGCTGATGCCGACTGTGCAAGTCAGGTCGTGTGGGTCCTTCCACGGGAGCGCAGGCTGCACCCCCGGCAGGCTCCCCAGCACCTCCGTGACCACTCCTGCCCGGACTTCGTCTGGGCCCCCTCATCTGAACCTCATCTGAGCACTGCCGGGAGCTGGCGAGGCTGGCTGTGTTCAGCCCCAGAGGACCAGACCTCTCCCCCCACGGCCCTCTCCCCACGGCTCGCTCTTGCGTGCACGACCCTTGCCGGTGCGCTGCAGACGGCCTGCGGATTTAGGTGATGGCAGAGCCCTTTGTGTCCACTCAGTGAGGGCCTGTGAGCACAAGATGTCCGGACAGGCCGACCGGATGTCGCACGGTGTTAAAGAAAGTGAGGTTCCCATGCATACAGCACAATAGCACCAACTCTTTAATTCAAAACGGTATTTGAATCGTTTTTCCCCACAGCCATCATGTTCTCTGCTTTCTGAGCTAGTGAGGTTGAGTGTGTGTTTTAAAGGAGAATGGAAACATTCAAACAGGTGTGAAAAGCAGAGGTTGCTCCTCTGCTTTCCACGGCAAACTGCAAGCTTTTTATACCTGGCGTGAAGGGAGAAAAGTATCATCTCAGACATTTTCCGATGTAATTAATAAGTGGAAATTATCACATGGGGCACTCTTGGGGCCTCGCCTTGGATGGGAGCTGCGGGGGAAGGGCTCTTGGGCCTGGTGCTGCGTCTGTGTGCTCAGGGCTGCCGAGGCAGGGCCTGGAGCAGCTCAGGAGGTGTCCCCAGGCCTGTGAGTCTGTGCCGGAACAGCAGCAGCCACATCTTGAGGGGGACACTGGAGCCAGCCCTCTTGTGTTCAGGTTCCAGCACAGCCAGGCCCCTGCTGCGTGACCTTGGGCTAATTGTTTCATCGCCATCTGTCGTTTCCCAGCTGTAAAATAGAGATGGTCGCAACACCCACTTGGTGTGGTCATGCGGAGGGCAGAGTATGTTCGTGCCTGAAGCAGTGGCCGGTGCATGGGAGGTGCACCTTTATAATGAGTGCTTGGGCTCTGCACGAGAAAGCAAGCGCGCGCTAGAGTTACCCTCTGAGACCAGCCGGGCGCCGGGCGCCGTCGGCTCTCTCCGTGCCAGCCCGCCCAGCCCTGAGATCCTGGTGGTCTAACGTGACTCTCTGTCCTCTCCTCTCTGGATCCGTGGGAACCAGTGGAACCTCACAGCTATTCCCACCTGACCAAGCCCACCTACACCCTCAAGCCAGTATAAGCCAAGAGCTGATGTCCCCACACTGCACAGCCCTCTTGGGATCAGAGGGAGTCAGGCCATCAGCCTCTGGCTGCTGGCGAGTCCTGGCCCTGTGCCCATCGGCACACAGCTTCCCAGGGAGAGCCCCAAGGCCCGTGGCCGCCTGGCGTGGCCCTCCCTCCTGCCTGCTGGCTCTCACCAGCAGCCCCCAGAGCTCGGCTTCCGCCTCTTTCTCTACCTTGTTTTCAGTCAGACCATCTTAAACTGACTTTGGTCTTCCCCACTTGCCACCATCTCTGCCCACCTCCACCCCACCCTTCTGGTTCTGTGACCCGCCTCGCCTCGGGCTCGAAGGCGCCAGGACGGCCTGGATTGGCTAGATCCCTGTTGGGCTTCGCCTTGCTCCCTGGGGCTATAGCATCTGCCCAGTTTTTCTGTAAGTTCCAAAAAGCTTCTGACT